GTGACACTTTAGGTAGGGGAGTTCAGAGCGCACTCTAGGCTGAAGGAAAGCGTTGGACCTCCCTGCCGCCTCCCTGCCCTGCCCCCCCCCCAAAAAAAAGCCCCTTTCTTCCAGGGCCCACTTCTGCCCTCTCAATCATTCTGTACAGGCAGGTGCACACGGGTCTGCGTAAACCCCTTATTACTGCTTCCAGACTAACCCAAGCACATTCTTTACATACTTGTCTCAGATGACATTAAAGCTGGGAGATTCCCAGGAAAGAGACTTGTTTTCTCCTTCAGGTTTAATCTGAAAGTTTAAAATGGACAAGAGACAGGTGAATTTCTGCTCTCATCCTCCCAACGGTGATCATTAGGGGACACTCGCTGTTACTTCCAACTTGGAAACAATCCCAGGGGTAAAACCTGGCTGTATCTTAGAATTCAGAGCAATCCTCTCCGAAGTAACAGGTATTATCAGTTTATATTAAACTGTGTGTAAGTCACAAGTAGTTAAAGTATAAATAATCGTGTGCTACATAATAAGGGCAATATTATCTACTGACTGCAAATTTCCACTTTCGCCTAATTTACATACAGAAAAACAATCCCCAAATTGAAAACTATAAGATCTTTTCCCTAACACTTTGACCCAGCTAAAAATAATTCTTCAGCGATGAATTTTCTCAAAAAGGCCCACAAACCTTCATTCAAGCTGTGCCTTAAAAAAGCGAAGCAGGGGGCCTCCCCAGTGGTGCAGCGGTTGACCGCTGGGTTGCAAAGCTGCCCGCAGCCTCTGCAGCACCAGTTCGATCCCCAGCTGCTCCCCGGCCACCGGAGGAGGGTCCCGCATGGCGCGCAGACCTCTCCTGCCGCCCGCTGCTCCCCTCAGCAGTGTACTTCGGTCCTTCTGCCTGCTCTGCTCTCTGCTCTGGCTCTGTTGAATTCTCTCACCCTCCCGCGCTTCTGACTGTACCCAGCGCTTGTATAAAATAAAAATAAATAAATAAATCTTAAAAAAAAAAAAAAGCCAGGTAGGGCCTCCCTGGCGGCGAAAGGGGTTAAGCACCGCACTATGAAGCAATCTGCAGCCTCTGCAGCACGAGTTCGATCCCCAGCCGGCCAGGTAAGAAACCCACATGGCGAGGCAGACCTCTCCTGTCTTCCCGCTGCTCCCCTCAGCAGTGTATTTCAGTGGATCTGCCTGTTCTGCTCCCCACTCTGTCTCTGGTGAATCCTCTCACCACCCCCCATCTCTGGCCTATACCCCAGCTCTTGTATGCATAAATAAATAAATCTTAAAAAAAATTAAATGAAATCATATATTTTAAATGGGCTATTACAGTAAGTACTTAGTACTACTGTCTGATATGGAGTAACGCTTAGCAATGTAACTATCTTTATTATGCCTAACCACGCTTTCTTATAAAGAATCAGTTTTTAAAAGGCACAGAATCTCAGCATTATTTTCTGCTGGAAATCTCTCTACAGTCCCAGTACAATGTGAAGGAATACAATTTGGGTGGAAAGCCTCTCCTGAACACAAAGACACCCATTCTTGAAGTGTGGCCCCTGGGGGCAACGTTCCCTAGGAGCTTGTTACATGCCAACTACAGGGCCCCCAACCAAGGCTCAAAGCCTAGGGGCGTGACCCAGCAATCTGCACGTCCATAAGGGCTCCACTTGATTCTACTGTTTGCTCCAGATGGGGAGTTTAGAAACCAGTTTCACAGAGCTCAGGTGCTTTGTTCTGCAGGGATGGGGAAGCCCTGAGGTCGGAGTAAAATGGCTTCTGAGTTTACCCTCTAAAGCACCATGTGAAATGTCACGACACACACCGGGTCATATCTGAATAGGTTAATAACAATCTCATAAAACAGATGACGAGGGCCTCCCTGGTGGCACAAGGGGTTGAGATGCAACCCATGAAGCTGCCCCCAGCCACTGCAGCACGAGTTCGATCCCCGGCCAGGGGGATACCCACATGGCGCAGCAGACCTTTCCTAACTCACCACTGCTCCCCTCAGCAGTGTATTTCAGTCAGTCTGCCTGTTCTGTTCCCCACTCTGTCTCTGGTAACTTCTCTCATCCCCCACATTTCTGTCCTGTACTCCCAGCTCTTGTATGCGTAAATAAATAAATCTTAAAAAAAAAAAATTAAGTGCACGGCGAACACACACCAGGAAAATATTAAATAACTGGCAAAGCTCTGGGTCCTCCAGTACACTGACAAGTAACCCAAGCTTACAAAGTATGATACACATATGCTTTGGAATTAAGTGAAACATTCATTTCCATGGCTTTTATGGTATACAAAAAGAATTTATTCACAGCTTTATATAAACTGTAGAACATAAATTGCAGACTTTTTGTAATCTTTAAAAAACATTTTATTTCATGTTAACCAGCTACATGGACCCAAGCTGTATTTTCATTTGAACAAAGACTTATAAAAGTAGACAAATGAGGAAATTTGAACACTGGATAGCTGATAAGAAATTTTGATTTTTACTTTTTTTTTTTTTTTTTAAAAAGCAGCTTTGGGGGGCCTCCCTGGTGGTGCAGGGGGTTAAGACGCAACCTATGAAGCTATCTGCAGCCACTGCAGCATGAGTTTGATCCCTGGTCAGGGAGCTACCCCCATGGCGTTGCAGACCTCTTCTGACTCGCCCGCTGCTCTCCTCAGCAGTGGATTTCAGTGGATCTGCCTGTTCTGTTCCCCACTCTGTCTCTGGTGAATCCGCTCACCCTCCACACCTTTGTCCTGTACCCCAGCTCTTATATGCATAAATAAATCTTTTAAAAAAGGTGGGGGGCCTCCCTGGTGGTGCAGGGGGTTAAGACGCAACCTATGAAGCTATCTGCAGCCACTGCAGCATGAGTTTGCTGCCTGGCCAGGGAGCTACCCACATGGTGCAGCAGACCTCTCCTGTCTCCCTGCTGCTCCCCTCAGCGGTGCATTTTGTCAGTCTGCCTGTTCTGTTCCCCACTGTCTCTGGTGAATCTGCTCACCCCCCACACCTCTGGCCTGTACCCCAGTTCTTTTATGCATAAATAACTAAATCTTTAAAAAATAAAAAAGTGGAGGGACCAGGTTGGACCCGTCACTTCTCTGAGCCTCAGCATCCTCATCAGGTCAGACTGTCTGACCACACTTTCTGAGTTACAAAATTATTTGATTATTGGGCCTCCCCGGTGGCGCAGCAGTTGAGCGCTGGGTTGCGAAGCTGCCCGCGGCCTCTGCGGTGCCGGTTCGATCCCCGGCTGCTCCCCGGCCACCGGAGGAGGGTCCCACATGGCGCGCAGACCTCTCCTGCCGCCCGCTGCTCCCCTCAGCAGTGTACTTCGGTCCTTCTGCCTGCTCTGCACCCCGCTCTGGCTCTGGTGAATTCTCTCACCCTCCCGCGCTTCTGACTGTACCCAGTGCATGTATAAACAAAACAAACAAACAAACAAATAAATAAATAACATGCCTCTATAAAAAAAAATAAATAAATAAACAAATAAAAATAAAAAAAAAATAAAAAAATTATTTGATTACTATCTTTCATGTACCGATCAGCTAAAGGGGATATTTGTATTTGGAAATCACAAATGAAAACAGAGTAGTTTATCAGGATGAATACAGCCTTTCTGCAAATTATCTGCGTTTTATTATTCTTCACCTATAAATGACAAGCACGTATGATTACTTATAATTTAAATAAGACTTCTACAGCGAGCCAAATGGAAAATCTCAAAAATAGACAAAGATATTAACAGCCATAATAGCTAAAATGCCTATTAACTGGGTGAATGGATTTTTAAAAACTGGTACAGCCAAACTACTCAGCGATCAGAAGGATTCAACTGAGACAGACAAATACATCTGTTAACCTCAAAAGAGTTATGCTAAGTGAAAGTGATTCCCGTTTATAACATTCTAGAAAATGTAAAGCTAGAGATAACACAGGACTGGGGGCGGGTTAACTGTGAGGGCCTCGGGGGCTTTTCTGAGTAAAGGAAAGGTTTTGGCGTGATGGTGGTCTCTTAAGAGGGGTCACCAGAAGCGCTGCCCACTCGGGCTGCACCGTCACCCCCACCGGGCGCGCGGCCGGCACCCCGGGACACACACAACTGCGCGGACACACCAGGACAGGAGCTGCTGAAATGGGTGCAGGGCCTCGCCACGAGCTGGTCTTGTCACTTCACTCACATCCTGCGAGAACGAAGGCGCGCTCCGCGGGCAGCGCGCTTTAAAGACTAACACTGCCGAGTTCCAAGAACACAGACTGTGCAGCAACTCCCAGTGACTTCGCCGACGAACAAGGAGAAGACCCGGGGGGGCCCTCATGCTCCAGGCCCGCTCGGGCTCCCCGGGATGCGGCCTGGGAGGCGCCGGCTGCAGCCACCAGAGCAGGACCGGGGCCCAGGTCGGGCTCCTCGGGACCCTGGGGACCCCGTGTCCTGAGCGTCCAGCCTCGGGCGGGCGGGCGCAGACCCGGTCTCCGGGGCGGGACTCGCCCGGTGGCCCGGCCGGCGGCGGCCCCGGAGGGTTTAGACCAAGCGGCGCTCGACGGCTCGGGCCGCGCGGCGGTGCCCGCCGAGGGCGCGGGACGGCCCGCAGGAAGCGCTCCCGGGCGCGGCCCTCTCGCCAGCAACCGGCTCCGGCGCTCCCGGCCACGGGCGGCGAGGCCCCCGGGCCGCCACCCGCCCACGGCGGGGACTCCGGCCGGGCGGCGCCGGGCACCCACAGCGCCAAGGCCCCCGGCGCGCCCCGCGAGCGGCCACTCCTCCCGCACGCCGCCGGCCCGCGCGCAGCTCCCGGGCGCAGGGCCGGGCCCCTCCCGCAGCCAGCGGGCGCGCGGCGCGGCGAGCCGGCCCGGCGGGGAGCCGGCGGGCGGGCGCCTCGCACTCGGCCGGCCCGGCCCTCCCGGGCGCCGTCGGGCCGCGCGGCTCCTCCACCGGGCGGCGCGGCCCGGAGCCCCCCACGGAGCCCGGGCCCCCGCGCCCGCCGCCCCCGCGCCCCGCCCGGCCACTCACGTTCTCGGCGTCGCGCTCGTTGACCGTGGGCAGCGGCGTCCGCGTGGACATCTTACTCCACTCGCGGCGGCGCGACGCGGGGGAAACAGCGGCCGGCGGCCTCGAGCGCCCGGCGGCCTCCGCGGCCGTCTAGATGCCGGGCCGGGCCCGGGCCGTGCCCCGGCGGGCCCCGGGGCTCATGCTCCCCCGGCCGCCGAGCGGCCCCGCGGGCTCCCCGCGCTCAGGGCGCCCCGCGGGCCTCGCCTCCGCTCGCGCGGCGGCTCTCAGCGGCCGGGCCTCCACGCAGCGCCGCCGGCGGCCCCTGAGGAGGCGGAGGACGAGACAGGCCGCCGCGGGCGGCGGGCGCCGACCATGGGGGGGGCGGCGGAGCCGGCGCCCGGTTGCGCTTCTCCCTCCCGCTCGCTGCCCGCCTCAGCCTCGGCCCCGGGCCGCCGCCGCCGCCGCCGCTCCCGGCACCTCGGAGCTCACAGACCCAAGATGGCCGCCCCTCGGCTTCCTCTGCTGCCTGCCGAGGCCGGAAGTGACGGCAGCGCCGCCTCCGAGCTCGGCCAATCAGCGCGGCGCGAGCCCGCCGGCCGGGCCGCTGTTGCTAGGGGCGACTGGGCGGGGCCCGGGCCGGGGGCGGGCCCGGGGCGGAGCAGGGGCGGCCCGGCCGGTGGGCGGCGGTTCCCGGCGTCGCGGGGCGCGCCACCCCGAAGCCGCCGGCGGGGCGCCCTGGGCGGCGGCCTGGCCCCTCCGCCGGGCCGGAGTCTGCCGCGTGGGTCGGGCCGCGGGCACTTCCTGCCGGGAGAGCTCGCGGCCCGGCGGGAGCTGGACCGGGCCGCCGGCCGAGCGCTCTGCGGGAGGAGGGGCGCGATGAAGACGTGGCGGCCAAGCCCAGAGGACCCCAGGAGCAGCCTCTAGATGCCCCAGCGGCCGGCGTCGGGCCTGCGCCCCGGGCGTGGCCGCGGGAGGGCTGCCCGCCGGCCGGGCGCTGCCGGCGCGAGCTCCGTGGGGCGCGGAGCCCGGCCGCGCAGCCTGGAGCCCTTTGGGGCGGGGTTCCCAGCACGGCCTGGGGAAGCATGAGCTGTTCCTGAGCGCCTGCCTGGTGGGCACATCTGTACCCCATTGCATTTGTTACCTCATTTAAGCCTCAGGGTAACCCTGAAAGATGGACAGACACACCTTGTGATGCCAACCAAGCCTGGACAGGTTAGCGTGACTTCACCCAGGTGCCCACGTCGGCCGCCAGAGCTGGGATCTGAACCCAAGTCCCAAAACCTCCACCGCCCCTAAGACCTGTAGTGGGTCATGGCTTAACGTCCCTTTTCTATTTTTTTTTTTCCCTCTTTCGGCCCCCAGTAGGTGAACTGACTTGCTACGTCTAGGACATTCCCTGCCTCTTCAGGCACATAGGTGTGGAAGCACCAGAATCACTCCCCGAGAGGACAGATGCTCCCACCATGAAAACACAGGGGACAGCGAGGCAGTGAGGCTTCCACCCGCTCTCTCAGGAGAGCACACCAGGGCGCTCCTTGCTTAAAACAGGATCCTCTTCCCCTCCTAGGCCACACCCAGGGGGTTGAATTCTCATTCACTGAATGTGTGCTTCATAGAGTTCAGGGCATATGGGTGAGACTGAGACTGTGGGAGCCCCAGCAGGGACCTTCAGCATGACTTGGGGGGTGGGTCAGGGAGACTTCCTGGGAGAAAGATACGGATGCTGACTGTACCAGCACGCGCAGTGTTAGCAGGGTGAGGCTCGGCATTCAGAGCAGAGCAGCCTGCCGGGGCACAGAGTGAGGGCCACATGGGGTTTGGGTCAAGAGAGCGCGAGGTGAGGGGTGAGGCTAGGGGGGAAGCATGGCGCTCTGTCCACATCTTCGTGATGGGAGTGGCAACTAGGTTAGCTGGGAAAATACAGGAAGACCCAAGGGTTTTGACCTTCGGCAGGAGCTGAGAGGAAGCATTTACAGGATTCAGAACATTCCATATTAGCTGCACATGAGGTTCTGCCCAGACGCTTTTCGCATGGAAGCCACACACAGAATAATGTCTGGGAATGGATGCCGAAAGGCTGGAAATGAAGCTGACCCTCCTTAACTCAAGATGCTTCCAGTTTTCAGAAAGGCTAGAATGAAAGAAACGCTTTGAACTTTATGTCAAATAACCATAGATGACACTCTGCAGAGCCGGAACAGGGTGGAACGTTCGTGTTGTTACGTGCCCGAAGAGGAGGGGGCGGGGGAGCAGGCCAGGTGAAGGAGGATGAGAGCAGAATGGGGGGTGAGGGGGAGAAAAAGTAGAGGCCTGTCCCAGCTGAGGGCCCTCCGTGGCCCTGGAACCAGCACACAGCAGATTTGTGGCCAGAGGAGGCGGGGCACGGCCCGGGCTGGTCTTTGCTGCCTCTGTCTGTCTTCCCGGTCCTCATTTCCCGGCTTCGTGTGACACTGGGTGTTTCCTCAGGCTCCTTACGTGGAGGGAACTAAGGATGCCGAGCTGTGTGCTCTCAGGCAGATGGACTTCCTGGTCCAGGAGCCCACCCAGCTGTCAGCAGTGGATGTCCAGTCCTGCCCCTACTGCTGTGGGACAGCGGGGGCCGCAGACAGGAGGCGACTTGGCCACAGAGGCTCAACCACTTAGCTCAGAGCCAGAGTGGGCCCAGTGTTCCCATGCCCCGGCCCGTCTCGCCCCTAGCACATGGGGCGCTCTGCTGCAGCCAGCCCGGCACCGGCCAGAAGACGCTGGGGCCCTGGTGGCAGGGGAGTCCGGCACTGGCTCTCTGACTTCTGCGAGAGAAACAGCGCCCACTCGCTGGGGCCATGCCAGCTGGGCCTCTGTCCCTTGCGCCCCAGTGCTTCCCAGCCAGCTCAGCTGCCTCACGCCTTCGTGCCAACTAGTCAGCTCTCTGGCCCCCTGGCCTGTGAGCTGCCGCACGGGGAAGGCCTGCTTCAGCCTGACTGCCGCGCCATAGCACACCCAGCACATCCACCTGCCACGTGGTTGGCAGCTGCTGGGACTTGGGAGCCACTGTGTGTGTGCTGGGGGCGGGGGGTTGGGGGGCATGGGATAGAGCCGAGCCCTGAAAGAAAGTCACAGAGACTGAGTGCAGTCCATGTGGGGACCACACTTGGGATCAGCATGCCTGGAGGCAGGGAGAAAGGAGGGGCTGGGCCCGGTGTGTCCCCAGGTAGGCCGCAGGAGCCTGGAGATTCTGGGAAATGTGAGACCGGGACCAGGGTCCCCACACGTGGAGCTGCTGTTCCTTCAATCCGCTACCTGATAACCTTCGCCCCACGGCCTCTTCGGCCTCTCAGAGGCCAGCAGGAATCTTAGGACCTTGTTCCTGGCATTGTCCTGCCCAGGGTGACGGCCCGGCCTCCCCGACTCCTCCCATCCTCACACAGCCCCTCAGCGGACTTCCCCGCAGAGCCCCCCCAGACTTGCCCCAGCAGCCGGGCTCTGTTGCCCAAGGTCCGAGCGCAGGTGCTGAGCCCCGGCTGTGTACCTGCCTCCGCACCTGAGCTGAATCTTTAAGCTCCCACAGGACTGCTGGGGCGTCACTGGCTGTCCACGGGTGAGGACTAGGCTGGCTCACCCAGCTCAGTCCCCATGCAGCTGTCACACAGCAGAGCCAGGTTCAAGGCTCAGCACAGATGTGGGTGATGCTGCCCTTTTCCTCATGGTAACTGCTCCTGAGATGCGTCTGAGCCTTCTGCCTCCCTCAACTCATGCATCTGAAAAAGTCAGCTTTTTCAAAAAGGGATTTATATTTATTTATGCATACAAGAGCTGGGGTGCAGGCCAGAGGTGCAGGGGTGAGAGGATTCACCAAAGACAGAGTGGGGAGCAGAGTAGGTGGATTTACTGAAATCCACTGCTGAGGGGAGCAGTGGGGAGACAGGAGAGGTCTGCTATGCCCTGTCTGTCAGCGCCCTAGCCGAGATTCAAACTCGTGCTGCAGTGGCTGCCGATAGCCTCATAGTGCTGAGACTTAACCCCTGCACCACTAGGGAAGCCCCTGAAAAAGTCAGCTTTGGCCCAAGACGTGCAGTCACCTTTTAGTCCGTGCCCATGAGGCCCTGCAATGTTGGGGTGGCCTGCGGAGTGAGGAGGTAGAAGGGGCAGCTGTCCCAGCACTCAGTGGCCCCGGGCTGAGGTTGTCCAGCCCTCAGCCCTGCCAGGTGTGGATCTGGCAGGATGGCACACAAGTCTTGCCGGAGCAAAGCCCAGGCCTGCGGTGGCTCTCTCGACCCGCCCTGCCTGCTGGGAACCATGCTGAGAACAGCGTCCGCAGGGCTGTGTGGGGAAGTGGCGGCTCTGGACCTTGAGCCCCGGCCGTGACCCTGAGTGCTGGGTGACATTGGGCAGATCAGTCCATGTCTTTGGGGCCATGTCTTCATCAGAGAGGAACGAGAGTGCCTCCCGCTCGAGGTTGCTCTGGGGCCACGGAGAGAACACCCAGCAGAGCTCCCTTCTGCAGCAGAGGCCTCCCCGCCAGCCACACTGCACATCCTCCCCTGGGGTGAGCATGGAGCCTGGAGTTGACACAGGGGCCCCCTTAGGCCACACGTGTCGGGCCAAAGACAGTCTCGCCTCGCCCAGGCCCCTTCCCTCCCTGGATAGGCAGCAGAAGCCCTTGGGGAGAGCTCCTGAGATGCAAGACGAGGTGCCTGCGTCCACGGCGCTGCTGATGCTGTCAGGGACGGGACGGGAGCCCAGAGGGCTAGAGGCTGGCTCCCGCTCGTGGGCAGAAGGAGCGCCCTCGCCCTCGCGCCCACTTGCTACAAAGACGGGGGCACGGAGGAAAGTGGGGGAGAAGCAGGTGGGTAAAGCCTGCCCTCGCTGCTGGCCCTCAGCGTCCCCCTCGAGGGCTGGTCCTGACCGCAAGCCCCTTGCCTGCGTGGGGAGAAGCCGCCTCTTCTGGGGAAGAACATTCCCTCCCGTGCTCAGCTGCTGCCTCAGCCACCGACCCCAGACCCCCATAAAAAGCCACATGAGCCTTTAAAGGCGCCCCCCTCTGCTGCCCGCCTCTCTCCTTTGCCCTGTCCTTCCCCGTTTCTAGGGCGCCCACTTTGCCCAAAGTGTGTTTGTAGCACTGGGGACAAAGCGGGGAACAGAGGCGTTCTCG